TCTCCCCACCTTCCTCCCCCACTCTTTCCTTCCTCCCTTCACTCCCCTTCCATCTGCATTTTTGCATTGCAAGCCAACTAAACATTGGAGCCTATTTTTTCGTAGAGTTGAGAATGTCTGTGGTGTGGGGGAGTGGGTGGCACAGAAAACAGTGTGATGTGTTGCTAGGTGAAGGCAAGTTGTGGGAAGCTCAGGGTCTGCAAACCCATAGGGTGTGGCGCTAACCTCTCTAGGGCTGGGCTTATGGACAGTGCTGGGCCTGCAGCCCTCTGAGAACGCCCGCCAGCTTCCTCGGGGGTCTTCCCTGGTCAGCACTCCGAAACCCTGGGGACCGCTTTTGGATACACCTGGGCCAACAAGTGTTAGTGATATGGGCGGATGTTTAACAAGCATGTACTGTGTGTAACAGGCACTGTACAGAGTGGTCTAGCTCTGTTGGCCATTTCAACCCATTTTACCAATGGGGCTTACAGAACGTGCCCCAAGTCCCACGGCAAATACGGCTGAGAGTCAGCCTTTGACAGTCTGACACGAGGCCGCGGGCCGGAAGCATGATTCCCGGCGGGGAGCCTCATCCCCGCTTTCCTCCCTCCAAGCCAGTCTATGGGCCCGTCGCAGCCTCAGCCAAGGGGATGCCTCCTAATACAGTTTTCCCCAGACCAGCACCAGCACGGCTCCCTCCATCATTTCCCCAGCCTCTCCCTGTAACCCACGTGTGCGAACACCCACACAGTTACATAATTGACATCCATATTTCTTACAGTGACGGTGTCTACAAGATTTCCAGAACACCACAAGCCCTACTGAGACATAAGGAAGGTGGCAGAAGTGGCTAGACTGTCCCCCTCAGAGCTGGCGTGGGCCCTCTGCCTGGCTAAGCCACAGGCTGTCAGACAGAAAAAGCTCTTCCTCCCTGGGGAGCTCGCCTGGGATGGAAACGGAATATATTTCTTGCAACAGCTTGTAATCTTTAAAACTTCCTACCTTCGAGCCTTGTCCTCTTGTACGTTTCATCTGCTTGAGAAATCCCTGTGACCGGCACTGACTTCCCCCCGGCTTTTCTCTCTGCAGCCAGCTGAAGGAATCGGACAAAGACAGGAGACTGTCCGTGGAGATCTGGGATTGGGACCTGACCAGCCGGAATGACTTCATGGGATCTCTGTCGTTTGGGATTTCTGAGCTGCAGAAAGCTGGTGTCGATGGCTGGTAAGGAAGCTTTTGCTTTGGAGGCTGCGATACAGCTTGGTCCATCAAGCGTGGGGTCGAGACTGTCCTTCTTCTACAAGTGAAATACTGAAGCAGAGTCACAAAGGGATGGCTCGTAGACTGCACTGGCCTCACAGATATGCTTTATTTGGTCCTTGTGCTGAAAAGAAAAAAATTAATTGCCAATATTTTAAAAATCAAGACATTTCCCATAAAAGTCTAGACTTATGGCTTGAAAAGCCAGAAAAATCTGGGCACACTGGGCCCAATCAAATGAGACAGTTGAAAAGTTAATGCCCCCGTAGACAGGATTTTGCATTTGCCACAGTTGCCACCACTCCCTATTGTTTTACACCAGCCCTACTTTATACAATGATATGATCTGACTGGCCCCGTGGCCTCTAAAGTGGCTCTCACAATTTACCCAGAATAACATGCAATCCCCGGTCAAATTTTGACTCTCTGAGAAGATTCTCCTTTCCCAGGACTGCTGCCGAGCCTGGCCGCAGAGCGCTGGGCTTGCTGGCATGGTCAGCAGCATCGTCTCCTTTGTTCTGGGGCTGTTGCTCTGGTCCCTTCTTAAGGCAGAAAATCCTTGCCCAGTGTGCCCAGCAAAGAGGCTGGGTCAGCCGCCTCGGCAGCCCGGGAGCGAAGGAGTCAGCAGACAGCCCCGCGGCGCTGTGGTTTGGGAGAGCGGGAGCGTGGCCACTCTGATCTCCGTAAGAGAAGCTCTTTCATTTCTGAGTGGCCTTGGGCCTTTTCAGCTATAAGTCCGTCAAAATCAAACTGATTCAGCAAGAAAGAGACCCATCAGCGGGACCACGCGTCCTTTCCCTTGCTCACTGTGCAGATGCCTGTCTCTCCTCTGTGCTGGTCAGGGGCTTTGGTCCAGTGTGTGCTGAGTGTGTGCTGGGCACTGGAGCTGTGTCAACTGTGGGACAGGCGCGCCCCATGGAGCTGAGCTTTGGGAGGGGGAGGCAGACCTGGGAGAGGCAATCACACAGCGAGCCGAAGCTAAAGCTAACCAATGACACGAGCAGACAGGCGAACAGGACAGAAGCCCAGCGTAAAAAAGTAAAATAAAATAGTAACGTGTCTGAAAGCACAGTGCACAAATGGTTAAAAACATAATTCTCATAAAATGAGAATTTGTCGAAGTTTTCCTTAGCTCCTAAGTGAGGAAACCAGAAGAGGAGTGGCTGACCAAAGGGCTGTATGTGAGGAGATGAGGGAACGCTGGCATAACAGAGGCCAGAGGCCAGAGGTGAACAGAGCCCGAGAGCAGGCCCGGGGCCAGCCGGTGTGGCGGCTGGGGCGCAGGGGCGCCTCGGTTTCCTCATTCACATCCGTCTCCGCAGAGTTCGGAGACCACCTGGGCCCCCCTGGCTTGTGAATAAGCAGTAGTACCGTGAGAAGGGGAGAGCTAATTAGAAAACGCTCTAGCAGGATATGAAAAGGTCACACTGTCATCTTTTTGCCTTTTCTCCAAGTTTTGGGTAACTTTTCTTGAGGTGTGGACGATTTAACTCTTCACACTCCCTCATTGCCACTCTCAGATTTGAGTACCGTCCTCACTGAGTTGGGCACAAAGAGGTTAAGAGGAAGAGCCGCGACCCTGGGGGTGTAAGGGAGACAGGAGAGGGGTGATAATTATAGTCGCGATAGCACTAGCTGCCACTGGCTCTTACTCCACTGCCGGCACTGAGCTGATCGCTCTCCAGGCCTCGGGAGTCACACTGACGCGCCTCTAATCAGATGTGCGGAAAAACACAGCTTCTTCATTTCCTACAATGGCCGTTGCAGTTTTTGACCTCATGGTGGCCGAACACAAGGGGACCTCACTGCACACGGTGTCTCTGGCTTGCATGCTGCCCAGCGACCAGTCCTGACGGCCCAGCCAGCTTTGGGGCACCGTTCTGGCTTCATGCTGGAGTCCCAGTCCCTGGCCTGGGAGGTCCCTCCACACAGTGTCCTTTGTCCCACCTCCAGGCACAGCCAGGCGCCACCCACTCAGCACTTCCGTGCCCTTCATTTCCCAGTCTCCTGTGTGGGGAGCCTGGCGTGCGGTCTCAGGGCCCTCACCTTGCCCCCTCCCCGCAGCTGCTGCTCGGCTCCAGGCCTCCGTGTAGGCCTCTGCCCCGGGCCCAGCGAGGAGGGTGCACAGCCCCTCTGTTCTCACCCTGTCCTCACCCTTCTCCCTCCTGTGGTTCTCCAGGCCCCAGAGGGCAGGGCTGTGTCCACGGTGCCACCGCCCTCCTCCCGGCAGGGAGTGCAAAAGGCTCAGTGATAAGGGACAGCACGTCGGGAGCAAGTCCTGAGTCTCCCGGCATTTGCGCTTGCACCATCCGTTACTTCTCCAGCGGTTCTGGGTGGAGCGTCGTCCCTGGATCAGTGTTGTCAGGCCATGCTGAGGGGCACACAGCTCCTGAGGGACAGGCTGGGGTTCGGGTCCAGGCATCCACCCCCATTCTGCGCCTGCTGCAGGGGTGCAGACCTGGAGGTCACAGAGCCTCTCCTGCCGGGCGGACGCCTTGTGACCCTCGGTGAGTCGCGTCACCTCTGTGCTGCGGCCTTCTCAGCAGATGTGCTTNGACGCCTTGTGACCGTCAGTGAGTCGCGTCACCTCTGTGCTGCGGCCTTCTCAGCAGATGTGCTTCCATCCCCAGGATAATTACAGCACCCCCCCCCATCCTTTAGGATGGTTGTGAAGTTGATGAAATGATCTGATCGTTGAGAGGGAAGTTTGCAAAATAAAAGCCCTCTTCAGATTTTGCAGATAAAAGTCCTCTTCAGATTTAGGGCCAAAACATCTCTGATGCTTTCTTAACTGTAAATGTACCAAATTCTAGAAATTTGGGTTCTTGTTCCAGGAATTCTTTCAACATCATGTGGTCTAGGGTAAGCCACGCCCCCGGCTGAGACTCAGTTTCCCGTCTGGAAGGGGGTGCGCTCTCCCAGCTGAGGCTGAGACTCAGTTTCCCCTCTGGAACGGGTGCGCTCTCCCAGCTGAGACTCCGTTTCCCGTCTGGAAGGGGGTGCGCTCTCCCGGCTGAGGCTGAGACTCAGTTTCCCCTCTGGAACGGGTGCGCTCTCCCTGCTGAGACTCCGTTTCCCGTCTGGAAGGGGGTGCGCTCTCCTGCTCTTCTGTGTGCTGTGCTGTGAGGCCCAGTGGCCCTGAGCTCCCAGATGTGAGCGGCAGCCTCAGCCCATCCCCCCACCCCCTGCTCTGCCACCAGCTGTGCCTGCTGTCAGATTCTCCTCTGTGCTTCTAGTTTTATTTATGTCGTCTCCTTTCTGCCCCCTCGTTTTCCAGACGCTTGTCTATTTTATTGTTGTTTTGGCTCTTTTCCCCCAAAGAATCGGCTCTGGGATTTGGGCATCAATTCTGTGTTTTTTTCTCCTTCCTGTAGGCTTGTTTTGTGGTTGCGTCTGAACTTCAGTTGAATATTTTGCTAATTTATTTTCCTCTCTCAGCATCTTCTGCTCTTTACAAAGTGAACAAGCATTGGAGGGACTAAATATTCCCTCCAAGTTTTCACACGCGGCGTTCCAGCCCTTGCTGCTTACTCGGGGTCTGCAGTTGCAGTTTTAATTTCCTTTCCAACGTGCTTTTATCCGTAGAGAGGCCCCCAGAGGATGCCTGAAGCCCCAATATGCTGACCCCATTTCCTCCACACGCACCTTTCACTGAAGGAAAGTGCCCTGTGGCTTCCGTGGCCCGGCCACGCTGCAGCTTCTCGCCTCTCCTGCTTTGGGGCTGTTACTAAGCAGAATAAGGGTGATTTGAACACAAGCCCTGTAATACTGGGATAGTGGATCCCATCCCCAGGGCGGGAGCGTTACAGTGTGACACGCTGGAGGAAGGGACGCCCCGCACCCGCGCTGCTGGCCGACCCCGTTTTAACAAGGAAGGCCACCCCGCCCACTTGGACCTGGGCAACATTGCGCGGCATGTGTTTATATTTGTACAGTTGCTTTCTACTTGTCACAAGTGATGTTGGCCTTCTTTATAAGAGATACCAAGTGTCTTTCAAAGTGAATTTATTATAAAAAATAAAAGACAACTTAGGGAAAAGCATTAGTCGATGATATCCAAATTTAGCGAAATCCACAAAGGCGAATAAAGTTTGCCGAACACCGCTCCGTGGCCTCTCGCTATGACTTTAATTTGTGGACATTCCCAGAAGCGCCTGCTGTGTGCAGAGCACCCTGTTGCCTTCTAGAAGACACAGATGTTCTCTCCTTTTTTGTCTTTCTTTTGGCAATTCCAGTGGGACTTGGAGGAGAGAACTGAATGTTAAACGTGGAGACTCGATGGTCGTCTCCGCTCTGAACCACCCAGCCTTTATTTCTAGAAGCTGCCTAGGATGATTTGTGAATGGAGACAGAAGTTGTGATGAAAACCGTAAATTGGTTAGGAAGCCTCTTTAGGGAGCGAGGAGCTGGGGACCTGGCCCCTACTGACCTGAATGCCCGCGGAGTGCCCCCGATCCTCCCTCCTCTCACCTTGACCGGTGGGGCGTCCCGGTGGCCGGGAACCGGAGCTGCCGTGTTTGTGTAACACGCCGGTGTCGGTGAGGATGGTGCGGCGCCTCTTCCTGAGCGCTCGCTAAGCGCCGGGCACCGCGCTCATGGTTTCCGTGCACCTGAAGGCGAGAAAATCCAAGACTCGGGGTCTGACCAGCTCACCGGGTGCCCGGGAGGCGAGGCAGGGCTGCGAGCCCCCCAGACGTGGCCTGCCTGCAGGACGTGTGTCCCTAACCCCTGAGGAGCCCCTTTCTCAAGAGGCCGAGCACTTTGGGGGCTTCTGCACTTTGGGGGCTGCTCCCGGGAAAGGTGGCACTGTGGAGTTCAGTCCCCAGCCCCGAGTGCAGGACGGCACGCTGGCAGCGTAGGTAGAAGGTAGTCGAAATGCTGGGAGAGCGCGACAGGAATGCGCGGGCCGAGGGGGGCTTCCCGCATCCTCGGAACGAGAGCGCGCCACGGACGGAAGCGGGAAACATGCGTGTTGGGTGATATCACCAGGACGGTTGTTTGGGGGGCGAGAACAAGAGAACTTTGCATCCTGTAAGCACAGAATATACGTTTTCTGATGTCCATAGAATCGTTACAAAAATAAAAATATATAGCATACCTGGCTACCCCCCAGAACAAAAGACCCTCCATGTGTTACTTAAAGTAGAGCTTTCCTGGGCCTCCCCTTGTTCTACCAATAAGATGCTATCGAGTAGAGTGATGGAGTTTGCCTGCCCGTGTCTCCCTTTAGGTTTAAGCTGCTGAGCCAGGAGGAGGGCGAGTACTTTAACGTGCCCGTGCCGCCAGAGGGAGGCGAGGGCAATGAGGAGCTGCGGCAGAAATTTGAGGTGAGACATCTTTCTTTCTGCATCAATGGGAACCAGTTGGGTCTGCCTCTGCGCTGTTTGTCCCATTTACGGTGTGGTTTCTACTGAGGCCTTTCGTGACTCCTTTGCAATGTCTCCCAGAAAACTCCTATTTACCCTTCAAGACCTCAATTAAATGTCCCCTGCCTTGTGAAGCCATCCTGCCTCCCTGTCTTCATTCAGGAAAGTGCTCCCCGTGCCCAGGTGGTTTTCGTGGTGGCTGGGGCTGGGCTGGTGTGATGGTGAACACGTTGGACAGAGGAGTGATATATTTTGGAGGCTGAGTGAACGAGGTTTGCTGAGAGATAGGTTCTGGGTTTGGGTGTGTTGGCAGGATGGTGCTGTACTGGTTTAAATGGAACTGACTGTGCTGGTGACTCCACGGAATACCCATGGGTGTGTCTTCCAAAGAACAGGAGCCCCGACTTTGGCTCTGACCTTTCCTCCAGTGCTGGCTCTGCTTCTGCCTGAGATAAACCCTCCCCTTCTGTGGGGCCAGTGAACCCTGTTTCCATCCATGTGAGAGTAAGCGGTATGTAGGGCACATCCCAGTTTTACAGAGAGAGGGTTTGGGGAAGATGAGTTTGAGTTCTTTTATTATTTGAGTACTGAGTGATTTTAAAGTTGTTTCATGGAGGAAAACATGATTTTGTTTTTGCAAACTCAATATGCTGAGTCTATCAGGAAAATTACCAATTTTAGATAAGCAGTGATGGCTTACTGGCTCTGAAAAAATGTATCACACAGGTAAAATGAGATAGATTACCATCATCGTTATTCATCGAGTAATCTCACAAGCAAATAAGAAAATATGATCAGGTAAAGTTCTGTGGAAGAGAGGTCCTCAAAGTGGTACTTTGAGAACATAAGAGGGAAATGTAACCTTGTCTGAGAGCACGGGGACAGTGTCATTGAGGAAACAGGAATGGAAATTAACCAAGTAAAGGGGGAAAAGCATTCCAGTCAGAGAGGACAGCACGTGCAAAGGCCCCGTGATAGGGAGTTACCGCAGCTGCATGAGACTGACAAGGAGGGCGGTGGGGGGGGCAGAGAGCAAAAGCGGGTTCCAGTGAGGCTGCGAGGGAGGCGGAGGTCTGAGTGGAAGGGCTGTGCTGGCCGCAAGGATTTTGCCATATTTCAGGAGCCATGTTAGTGTCCCCCTGAAATAGATGGAAAATGCACGTGAGTGTTGAGCCTTGTCTTGGGCCTGTGCCCTCCACAAACCTGGACTGTGGAGATGGCGCTGACCCAGTGGGATAGCCCTTCCTGGAAACAAGTGGAACAGCAGGCCGGCCCTGAGCTTGGACCTGAAGGTCATTCCCGTGTACCTGGGTCACGACCAGAGTAGTTGACAGGAGGACTTCCCTTCCGGCAGGGCTGAGAACTGGGCATCGTTTGATAAAAACAAGTCCTTCCAGAGAACACTTTCCATCTCTTTCCCTCACCTTCCTGATGACATGTCCATTTGCTGCTCTGTTAAAACGAATTACTGTGAGTGACAAAAAAAAAAAAAAAAAA